ACCGTCCAAGTAATTTCAGCCGCTGTTTGCCTTTTGACGGAGGCAAGTCCAACAATGGTTGCAATGAAAGACAATTCGTACCTCTGTCGTGAGGCTAAAAGGAGTCAGAGCTATGCTCTGAAAAAACCTTGTTCAGAAGAGCGAAAGACGTCTATTCTTCGAGAACGCACCATGCTTCAAATAGTAATTTGTAGTGAAAGAGGGAACCAGTTTTCTTGTCTTCCTATTACTATGGTATTTGGAGGGATGAATTGATCATACTGAATAGATTCCATGAACGTAAAAAGACGTCGGTGTAACAATGTTCGCTAGTGCTGAAAGAAACAACAGAAAAAGAGGATGTATAAAAGAGGCAGTTCTTGAGGCAAATTGAATAAAGATTATAGGTAGTTGACATCGTTCCCGAGACCATATACCGGTCTCCAATGATGGAACTCGATTCCCATCGCCCATATCTACGAATAGAAGAAAACTATGTAGTAGTATTCTCGATACTCTAGTAATAGCCATTGAGTTTTTCGTGTATGTTCATCCTAAGGTANTATACCGGTCTCCAATGATGGAACTCGATTCCCATCGCCCATATCTACGAATAGAAGAAAACTAGTGGTACTCTCGATACTCTAGTAATAGCCATTGAGTTTTTCGTGTATGTTCATCCTAAGGTAAGTACCCATTTGAAAGAAACAAATGAAACACTTTGAACCTGTATGTTTCCGGCTTTCACCATGCATTATCATAGAGAAGAAGGAGAAAGGAATCTGTGGAATTCCTCAAAAACTGGTCGACCAGCGTTTTGGAGGTTATCGATATTGCCCAGTGACAACTATAGCCAACCAGCTAACCGCCATTAAATAAAGCTCAAAGAAAGTAGTAGATCCTGGTTCCGAGTGAGATTGATCCACATTAATGAGATTCAAAAGGGTTATATAGAGGAAAGGAATTTGTGAAACAATTTTGGGCACGAAATCTGTCGAAACTTCGAGGATAGGAGTGACTTAAGACTTCCAAAGTCTAGAATCAAAGTCAAGTGGTTTCCAGCGTTGTGACAACCTTCCAAGAGTTTTTTTTTNTTTTTTTTTCGGTAGTTCGCCAATTGCAAGAATATCTATACAAGCCTATTCTAGTTGTCATTGTTTTTCTCGGCGGTTCTGGGTAGAAAAAAAAATCAAGAAAAGGTTTTCTCTCCAATTTGCATTATCGGTACTAAATCATAATTTTTCAATATTTATTGTGCATTTGCATCAGAAATTGCAAAATTATATTATTTGTTGTAAATATTTGAAATTACATTTATTTCGAGTAAAATCCGATAGCAAAAATGCGGGACAGAATGAATCGTTCTCACATTCTCTTATGACAATAATCTTTATATTGAACAAAAATTAGAAGAAGCGGAGTACCACTGCATTTTTCCAAAAAATTCTTCCCGCTGATACTTAGTATGTGCAGAATAGGTTGAAAAAAAAAGAATTTTTTCACCATATTTAATTTGCTATCGTAAAAATAATCATTTCAAAAAAAGTTTTGTACAATCCATGAAATTTCTTGTCGGATACGCCATCTCTCCGATTGTAGTCAAACATTACGACTTAAAGAGAATGTTCCTTGAAGATCTTGATAGACCACCCCATATTCTGAGAAAAAATATTTGCGAGCAAAACAATAAGATAAAAAAAACTGAGAGATAAGAAATGAGATAAGAGAACGGTCTAAACTGTCTAATAAATAAAATCGTATGCAAAAAGTCAACAATCAAAAAACATTTCATAAAAAAGTTTTTTCTGAAAGTGGACAACTATTGAAGATGAGCCTGATGATTTGTTGTGCCGATAAAAAGCCGACAATAAACACGAACTAGGAAAACAAATAAATGAGCACATGCGTTCTGCGAATTTTACGAGTGTGTTCGGCCTCGACAGAATACGACGGCAGCGAATGTTCGCTGATGGACAGGCGATTTGTCAGTTTAACGAGCAACACATAATGTTACAATCTTCGCGATTCTCCGATGACGACGTCCATTTATCGCCGCCGGGCGTCTGACTGGCCACCGCGTGACGAAAATTGTACGAAATTTGACGAGATCAACATCAACAGATGGCATAAGAACTACAGTAGGGAATAAAGTTTGAGGTCAAGCTTGAAGTTTTGGGGTCAATTATTCCAAATCTTAAAATTCCTTGCCTCCAATTGTTGTCCAAAAACCAACTAAACACAAGAAAACAGTAAACCCAGCCAGTTCATGAGATACACCCCGCATTCGACTTCCACTCAGGATTCGCTGATCCATTTGTGTGCTCACTTAGCTATACAATGTGAGTTTAAATGTAGACATACAGTGAATACAGTAGGAAAAGTAAAAAAGCAAGTACAGTAACACTGTTAAATGAGCATTCAAAGAGATTAACTCTTCCCTGTATTTCTTTTTTTTTCTGCCGATTACAGTCCTTTTTAAGAAATTAACAAAAATTGAGTGAAAGTCTAGATTAAGGGCCGCACTATGAAAGTCTTGAGGTTTTCGTGAAGAAACTTCAAATGTCTCAAGGCAGAGAACGGAAAACGAACTTCAGTAATGTTTTTTACGTATTTTTTACATACTTTTTCTTTCATCAGACCATATCTTTTTCTTTCATCCTAAAAACAATATATGAGGATAGATCAATGAATAATCGTTAACACAAAGTATCCTGACTGCATCAATTCTATGGAAATAATTTGTACATGGTTAATAATTGGGAACGTTGCTGAGAAGACAAATTTTTATGTTGGTCAGGTTTCTTCATAAAGTTACCTGCCCTACGACGGTAAGAATTATTCAGCTTCAACACAGTTGACAATTAATTTGAGAATATCAAAAATTGACTTAAAAGTTGAACATCGAAAAATGCGTATAAAAGGATTGATCCAGCATTCATGAGATCGAAATCAATGATGTGATAATTTGATAACATCGAGTCTGAAACCAACATAGCTAAGTCTTCAGGGAAAAAAATCGAGAAAAAACGAAACCAAATGAGCAAACCCGCAAAACCAAGCAAAGAAAATTTAAAAACTCGCACAAAACTGACGTCTAGCTCAAGGGAAGGCTTTGAGATGATGCCACCCGGCTGTTCTAGACAGTTTTCAACTATTTGTGAGGTACTGACCAAAATGAATGTAAATAAAGAAGTGAGCAGAAAACAATAAGTATCAAGATCGATAATGAAGCCTTGCGAGGTTGGAAATGAAGCCGCCGACGCCATGCTCATCGATTTCTTAGCCATTCCCTTTGATCTACTGCAGATCAATCGATCATTTGATCACTAATAGCGACGTCTATCAAGAAATGTTGGGACTTGATAATTTTTCAACAATGAGCTGGATCAACATGACTAACTTCATCAGCAGTATAGGTAAATGGAGATTTGGAGAAGGGGCGGAGGTAGTGTAGTGGGAAGTGGCGCGCTATCTCACATGCATGGTCATGGGTTCGAATCCCGGACCGAAATACGTCTAGGCCAACCGAGTCTTCCACCCTCCCGGGGTCAGTTCATTGGTACTATACTAGTTTGGGAGGATAAAAACACTGATTTGTACATTTGATGGCCACCGCAAGTCATCCATAGGCTATATACGCTCACTATGCCACTACGATTCCTACTGGAAGTCGAATGCGGGGCGCATCCCTCAGACGGGATTGATTAACGCCAAATCTTTATCCCTTATACTTTTAGTATCTGGTTGTGATTGACACTAGTTGGATAATAGAGTTAGTACAAAGGAGTTGTGGTACCAGAATCAATTACAGGCGTGTAGAAAGAACCATTTGTAAGCGGTTCCGTCTACCTGTTCATTAGATTTGGGAATGGAATAGTAGGAGCTAAAATGTCTCCAGCGGGACTATACGTGCCTAATACACACACGTACCCATATACCTGCTTTGACTCGATGTTCTTTTTAACTGCTGCTATTCCTACGCATGTGAAAGCATGTGGGTATCACAAAGGACGCTGTCGAGCTGAAAAACGTCCCAGATAGGGCGTAGTGCAAGGATGGCGAACTGTTGACAAAACCCAACTCTCCAACTTGCTCCCTAACTCGTCGCCCCTATTAGACTTCGTATCGCGCATTGAGTCGAAAAGGAAAGACAACGTACAGATTAGCCGTACAAAGCTAATGTTCCTTCCCCTCCTGTCCCCAATAGTAAGAAAAGTCCTTGCTCTTAAATAGGACCTGAACCACTAGGATCATTCAAGCCGTTGGTACCAAACTCGTTTGGTAGGACAGCTAGTTACAGTAAGATGTCTGCGTGCAAATTTGTCTCCAGATATGAATGGTCCCACGTCTTCAGCCTCTGCATCTCCGAGGGAACCCCCCCCCCCCCCCCTCCTCGGTTTGTTTCAAGGCCCTCACTACTCCCTAATCGGGACTTTTTCGACCCGACAGCGTTCCTTGTGATACCCTTGGGGGTCACAGGTATATCCTGGGGAGAATCTCAAAAACCTTTTGATAATGAACTGTTGTGTCTCGAAGAAACGGGCGTGAGCCAAAATTCCAGCTGAAATCGCGGAATGGCAAAAATGGCTCAGGTAACAAGCAGCGGCATATGCGGATCGCATCACAATTCGTCCATATGTAGGTGAAGTGTTCTTTGACATAATTGTTTGAAAATCAACCAAACTGATAAGAACTACATTGATCGGAGTGATTCCACTTTGAATTTGTGACAGCTACCGGAAAGAATCTTCATTGCAATAATGTTTAATTTGACACACACAAACAAACTGCAGGGAAGATACACTGAAATGGGTCTGGTCAGAACCAAAAAAAACTTTGTTCTTAGCTCTACGTACCATTGGAAAGTTGTTAGCTAGAGCTCTTCAGGTTCAACACATCCCGCATTTTGCTACATCAAAATACAAGCTCTAGCCTGTCTTGATGGGAAACATTCCCATGCCTTTATATATTTTGAGTTGAACTTCAACGTCACCGAGAAGGTGGACGAAATTCATTCGGTTCTATAGGATTACTTTTAGCAGAGCAACTTCGCCTAAAAAGTCACATGACATATCTGTGCAGGAGTGGAAACGGGCACTACGGTCATCTTGACTAAGGAAACACCTGATTTTGCTTGTTGGGAGATTTCGCGCTTACGAAAACTGCGAAATGCACCATGTGCCCATAAACGATAAGGACTGATAGCATACAGCAATATAAAAGGATTCAAGGCCGGTACAGGCTCAGCTATAAAAAGAAAATTATATTCTAAAAGGGGATGACGATAGATCTCTGATTCTTCAAGTAAATGACAGATGACGCCCAATACGAAGAGCATGGGCAGGCAGGCTTGGATGGTGAGTACCTTAAACTGAGTAATTTTGTATCACTCCTTCTCTCTGTTCAGTACAGTACAGTACATAAGAAAACTTCATAGGTGTCAGATACAGAAAAATGGATGGCCAGATGGGTATTAAGCCTAAGAGTTCACTAGGGTTTTCTCGTACTCCTCTTCCAATTCTAATCACTCCCCCTCCCCTCCAAAACTGCTTTTTCCATGCGTCCCACATTTCTTCTAGTAATCGTGTTTACCAGTCAAATGGTGAGTCTATGTACATAGTCTCGGCCCTAGTACTCTATAGATGTCGAGGTGTTCCTGTTTTCGGGTGTGGTGCAGTAGGTACGAAGTTGTCGCGTTGCGGGTTGCGGCAAGAGGAACGCCGCGCAAGAATATAGCAGAATGCAACAGCAGACAAAAAAAATACAGGAACAAAGGATAAGGATCGATTGAGCTGGATGAAGGACGCAAGAGCTGTAACAGCGGCGAAGGAATGGTCTGCGACAGCCGCGTGCGGCGAATCGGCTACAGAAAACCGTTCCTACTGCCCGTCTCCCCCTGTTTTCTTCCAACTTTCACAAAATCATATGCTTCGTTACAATGAATGGTAGTGAAGCAATCGACCCACCGTCTCTTGTACAGCTGTAATGCCTCCTAGGGGCATATCTTAGGGAATCTTTGAATCTCCCACTTTATTAAAAAGATCAAAAGAAAACTGGAGAAAACGAATCCTCACCCTTCTAAGCTGCGAATGAAGCCGTCGAGTGTTCTCCGACATATTAAATGTACCGATGTTTAACGATGATGTTGTTAGCTTTCCAAATATGAGTACACCACAGAACGTTATAGGAACTGATACGATCAAATGAGCAGAAATATAACGGTTTTTCCAGTCAAGTCCAAGATGTCCACTGACGCATTCTGAGCTGACATTGTATCCATATTTCTCTTCGATCATCAGCTTAATCTGCTCGCTATCGCTTTCGCAGAGTGAGAACAACACCTAAAAAGATATACGAATCCCGGCAGTAAGACGCGCTCTACACCAGAAGCCATGTAGGTACTGTAGTTCTTCGGGAGGTTTCAAAAGGAGATAGCGCAGTTGAACCGGACCTTTCCGGGTGGAGCACTGTACAAAAAGGCATATAACAAAGGAGAAAGGGTCTTTTTGAATACAACGAATAGCAATTCTCAATTATAGCTGCTTACTGTCATATGTTTGGCGATTCCTAATGGAAACAAATAAGTCGGATTACGGTTTGGGGCAGTGACCTTCATTCTTACCCACCATCTGTTAGCAACTATTCCAAGAAGCAGCCAATGACTGACAACTAATAAATAAATAAATATTTTTGATTATTCCAGCTAAAAATAGCTGCGATGAGTCTAGTGAAAAGGCTAAAATGCAGTGAGGTCACTGTCCTTAACAGTTTCAAATGCCCACCTTTCGTTCCGTTCCGTGGGTATCTAGTTTCATAGGACTTGAAAACTTACAAGCTGAAGCAATGACGGCAAATACATCAGAATAATAACAACAGCGATACTGCTTCGTTTTGGTGGAGGATGATTAACGATGTAATAACGATAAGCAGATGAAAACAAAATACCCCATACAGCATGACAGAAGAAATGTACCATCACACCATTTCTGAAGCAAAAAAAGCATTATTGGATTCACAGGAGGCTAGGTTTTTGTTCTTCAGTTGAGAAACTCTGAGCACCTACATGAAGTAGCATGTGGACGGTCCAAAATATGTACACGGTCCATAAAAAATGTAGTACACACCGACAGTAGCAGGAATAGCCCTGAAACAAGAGAGAGTAATGGTGTACGTTGCCAAGATTATTATTTGGTGAATTTTTCTTATCAAACAAGGACCAAAACTGGTTTTGAAGTGTTTGCCTGTGCTTGGTCACGAAGCAGTATTCTCTCTCTTTCCTCATGATCATTCTTATCCGAATTACCATTTCAGCGGTTCCGCGGCAAGTACCGTATCTTCATTCTGGATATCTAAATCTTTCGCTTTACAGTGAGCGGCACGATCGGGTAAGGGGAGCACGGTACGCCATTCGTGTAAAGAGTACCGGTGAAGTTTTTCACAACGCGTTCCTCTTTTGCAAAAGCGATTAGCAACAAATATCCATTTTTTCTCAAAAACATTCCTTGGTGCCACCCACGCGCAATTTACTCCAGTCCAACGAATATCATCTCTCCTCCTTTGCCTGATTCTTGCTTTAAGTTCCACCTACGAAGTCCACATAGTTTTTCAGACACCTGACAGGTGACCCAAAAATAAGTTCTGCAAGGAACAAATTTTGCACTGCGCTATTACATATTTATGCCATCTCACATAAGCATTCTTAGTTGTTTTCTTGGATCTGAGCCAGTTCCGTACGACATTGACCGTGCTGGTGCAGTATGGAGACAATAGCGTTTTTAAGATTTCATTGAGTTCCTACCTCTGCCTCACTAAAAGAGCAGTAAAACAGGCGAACAAATCGCAAAATACAGTGTTGAGAAAAATAATTGAGTAAGTGGCCAACTGTGGCGGAGTTTTGTTCAGGATTACGAAAATCATAAAAGAATTGACAGCGACTCCAACTACGTTTGTGACGGTATTCGACATCAAGCTGAGCCACCATACCCAATCCATCATCCTGAAATGAAAAAAGACGTGAACAAAGTGGATGGTAAATGAAGTTTGCTGGCATAGTATATTTTAGAGACGCAAAACGATGGAATTGGAGCTTTTGGTATTCTCTTCTGCGTCAGGTCACCTAGGAGCCACAAACACAGATGTATGGGCAAAAAGAGGTTCATAGCAATTAGGCGGCCTAGAGGTTAATTAGGCACAAAAAACTCTCTTTTAAATAAGTAGTTGTAGCTCAATTTCTCAGCGCTCCGCCCCCGCTGCCTTTGTTGTTTCATGTAAACACAGAAAGTGTTACCGCTTTTGGAAAAGCTGGCGACAGCGAATGCATCTCGCTATGAAAAGAAACTTACTTATAAGTCTCTTACTCGGAATAGAGAACTAGCTTCATGTCAACTACTTTCACGGAGCATTAGAAGGAAGTGAGTTCACTCACTGATTCGGAGCTTTTTGATGTGAGCTTTCTATAATAATAATTCAATGCAGACTAGAAGATTTTTTCACGCTCTGCTCAGGAACTCCATTCGAAATGAGATCAGTGTAGGAGGTCAAGGCGGCTTCCAAGCACTTATAGACTTGAGCACTTAGAATGGGTCCCGCCAGACATGCCCTGGCGGGACCCATTTATACTTGACACATGGAAGACCTCGGACAGCTCCTGCTCTTACAATACAATTATCACTCTTCATTGATCAATGGTTACACTGATCCGAAAAGCAATGATGAAGGCAAATTCCACAAATAGAACAATAAGCACCTGGACTGTTAGTTTCTTGACAGGTGGTTGTATACCTTGGAAATTCGGTTGCGGTGCTATGGCATGTCCTGGCTTCTCAGGATTTCAATTTTTTCAAAAGAATTCATTTTAGTGATGATTTCGGTCTGAGACCCCTTGGCAACATCTAGGCATTTAAAATAACCTTCTTTGAACTTCCTTCCTAACCTGTTCTCCCGTTCATTCCAATCCTTGGGAATGGTCTGATAGTCTTCAACAGAAACGTGCTCCTCGAAGTAGAATGTGGATGCTCACATCAATAACGTGATTGATTGGCCGTTTTTGGATACTCTATCCTTTATCCTATAGGTTTCTGAGGTTTCCTGCAATTATGAAAAACGACCAAGTTGCTTACTTCAAACACTGGAAGTAAGGTTTCGCTTGTCTCCCCTATTGCTGTGCCATCAATTACTGTGTTGTGGAGAACTAGTACTAAAAAGTTTGAAATCACCCATAGGGTCTCGTCACCATCCTTTATTCGATCTGATTTGCAATCATGGATACGCGTTGAATTCACACTTCATATGAAGCCTACTCGCTTACTGTTGGACACAGTCGGCGTTATCAGGAAAAGCTAATTTGAATTTTTCAACATTTCAAACAAATAGTGCTATGAGGAAATAAAGTTTATGCTAACACAAGGATACATACTCTGCTTGGCTAATACGTCATACTGTAACAAATACAAAATGTTGGGTAAACAAATACAAATGCTGGGTAAACACAAGATGTTGACAAGTTGAATGGAAATTTTGTGTTTTATAGTGTTGACTACGTGACAAATCTCTCGTGCTGGCTGTGCAACGTAATACAAAATATTAGGTTGATGCTTAATTATTGCGGGTTTTTTCAGCAAATTTTACTTAGAGAAACGAAATAAAACAGAATAGAGATATGTAGCAAAGACATGTTCAAATAATTGATCCACCATCTAGGGAAAGCACTGCTTCCCATTTGCTAGGCAGTTGGATTCCACAAGCGAAGAGGTTCCGATTCTTGAAGGGGATCACGCCTTGACGTTGCTCATCAAGCCATCCACTTCGTCGGTAGTTTCGTTAACCAATTTTTCAAAGGGCGATTGACGTGATGATTGATAGGAGTATCTGTTGGTGAATAGAGCGACCGCAGAAGCAGATTACACTCCTTGTTGGGCTTTGGCTGACTGTTCCATCGCCGAGTTCGTTGAGATCACGTTATGAGTGTGCCGCATTCCAACATTTCTAGAAATAATAGAGCATAATTTGGGGTATATGGAGATGACTTTCTAGACCTATTTCTTTTAAAGAAAGCGAGAGGATCATTTCTACAAAAATCCCGAATTCAGAAGTTTAATTTTATCGAGAGAAAAGAAGCCGCGAAAAAATCCGCAATAATTATGCATCAACCTAATATATGGAAACACACAATAGGTTACCGCAGTTTTACATGGGGATGCAGTGCTTGATAAGTTACGAGGGGGGTGCTTACGAATGAAATTGATGGAGTTGATATTATAGAATATTACTAAGGAGACTGGCGACTGTGAAGTCTTCATCAGAAAGAAACCATCAAGAAACTGAGAATGCCGATTACATCTGTTACCGCATTTGATATCAGACTGCTTTGTAATCCCAGTAAAACAATCCCGAATAAACAGTCAATCTAGAATAAACAAAATGTGAGGATTCAGAAAACTGACCTCGATTGCATGTTTCTAAGCGACTGAACTTCGCTGAACATGACCAGCAGTAAATTCAGCCACCACGGTGTTCTGAAATTCAGAAGAGCGTCGTCAAAGTGGGATTTACTCATACATCTCCGTGCCCTGTGTATCAGCCTGTTGCATAGTTTTGGCAACAAGCTATTTCTGAAGATTTTCATCATTTCTCAGTGATTTGCGGACATTTTGTTGAATATAGCGGCTATTGCTTATTTCTAATACTCCGCCGACTGCTCAGTTCCCTTTGGCTGGCTAAGAACGCAGTAGGTTACCGCAAGTTACGGGAACCGCTTGGGAAATCTTTAACCAGCCGGAAAGGCAGTGGGGATTGTGTGGCCTCTTCCAACATGCCTACCTTATTCTTTTGCATAAACGGCTTGAAATAGTCGTTTCTTTTCTAACGATTTAATTTCACATGTTGTTTCTAAAAAGTTACGGTAGAACAGAGTTGTGGATTGTTTATTAGGATCCCTATGTAAATATACACAAGAATATCAGCATTAAAAAGAAATATAAAGATGGTTGGCAAACCTCATGGATCTAATTTCCATTTGCGCAATAACGTAGACTTAACTGAGCATGACGTTTAGCAATACTTTCCAACATTTGAAACTTCGTGACTATTTCCATCATGCTTACAGGCAGACTTCGACGGTCGCGTGTTGCAGCAGAGGCAGGCGAAGAGATCAGGAAGCGTGAAATCAGCGTAACTACTTTTAGGTGAGATCACTTCTCTATAGGACGCTTACAACATTGCTGATGTAGGTCTATATAGGTCAGCGTGGTAATAAATCGTATGTTGTCGGTCGGTGAAGTTTTATTCCAACACGATTATGGGAAATTTTGTTGAATCGAAAAGGTGTACACTGATTGCAAGCGAGGTCTAGTTCGAACTTGTGAGAGC